AGAAAGATTCAAGAAAGGGAGGATAACAGGTGCTGTGTTTGTAGACCTATCAGTGGCATATGACAGTCAACCATTGAAACCTGTGCCACAGGGTGGGGTCCCTAGGGATGGCCATGATGCCCCTAGGGCCCTGTGACCATGCCAGCTTCGCCCTATGGGCGCCTTCTATTCTCGCCTGCCATGTCTTGATGGTTAAAATAATAGATAGTAGATGGGAAGACTGCCCTCAAGTTGCTGTGCAGTCACGGTCCTGGTGGACCCCACTAAACCGTGTGGGTTCTTAGACCTCTTGCTGGGTCCTGCTCTAAGTACGTAGCTCGTGGGACACCCCAAGCCTTATGGGCTAGATGCATGTCTCCAAAACTGCCCCTTTACCATGCCCCATGCCTCACAGATGGTATTTAGCTATTGTCTTTAGTGATGAGGCCTCAGTTTAGTTAGGCCTCTTGTTGTCCCTGGACCCTTAACCTCAGTAACTGTGCCCTCTGGTTCTGGGGTTTCCTCACCCCCTGTTGCTGTGCCCTCTGGCACTGGGGTTCTGCACAGTAGAATGCTCCAATGAGGCCTTCTCCTCCCCAGTAGCCTCATCCCAGTCCATCGGATTAAAAGCCACAACATAAATATGAGCCCCTGGGCTATAACATAACAGCAACCGTAACCCTGGATACTTTAGTCTCACCACCAGCAGCACAGGCACCCAGGTATTTCCGTGGAGCTTTTCTACATGAAATCCACTCCCCCTGGCAGCTGCAAGGACCCTAACTGCCTTCAGTGCCAGCCCTGAGGCTTATATGGCCCAGGACGTTGCCTTCTTCTGGTCAGTTGACCGGGTGCAGGTGCAGGCTAATTCCCTTGTTAACCTGCTGCCACAGTAACCTGCCCCTCTGGGGGTTCTGCTTGGCTCCTAGGGCCCTCTCTCTAGGCAGTTTCTACCCTTAAAGGAGCACCTTAGTGCCCTGCGACAACCTGCTTGCCAAAATCTATGATATGATCCACAATTACCACTTGGCGCAGCTCATCCAAGATCTTTTTATGTAGAACTGTACAAGAAATGGAGCTGCCGGAGATGACAGTGAAATGGCCTCCCACAGGGTAGCATGCTAGCACAGATCCTTTTTAACATATATACCAATGACCAAGCCATACAGAATAATATGAGGAGCTGATGATCTATGCATCACATCACAAGAGAGGGACTTTGCCATTGTTGAGAACAGATTAAATGTCCATTGAGCAACCTCTCAGATTACAGTAGCCAGCTTTGCATCAACCTAACCAAGACGCAGGTCCTGGCTTTTCACCTGCCATAGAGAAGCTCAGCAGAAATTGAATATTGCCTGAGGTGGAATCCCACTGACTAATCACCCAGACCCTGTGTGCTTGAGGGTTACATTGGCCTGAATGCTTACCTTCAAATCACATGTAGAGAAGACAAAAGGCAAGAGCATACTTGAAAAATTGGTCTTCTCAAAGTGGGGAGCAAACCCAGCTATATTACAAACCACTGCCATTGTCTTGTGTTACTCCACTGCAGAGTGTGCACGTTCGGTATGAGGGCCATCAGTTCATTCCAAAAAACGAGAGCCAATTCTAAATGACAGCTGTTGTAAAAACCAAACAAAAAAACCACCCCAAAACCAACAACAACAACAGAAACCACAAGATGTCTAAAGCCAACACTGAAGGATAACCTGTACTTACTGGCTGGCATTGTACCACCTAATATCAGAAGAAAGGTTGCAAGCCAAAAAAAAAGATCAAGGCAGATGGAAGACCCCAGACATCTACTCTGTGGTCATATAGAAGTAACTAAACAGCTTAAGAGTTTTATGTCCAGTGTTGCGCCATTGGAAACAATGGCTGACAGGGTACAACTAAGGTTATGAAAGGAATGATGATGTGCAGTCAAGTGCTCTGACATGGGCCTGGAACCCCAGAAAGAGTTTCCCAGAGGGGCTGATCTAGACTGGCCAACATGGTGATGCCGACTCACCTACACACGCAAGCTGGAAGATCAAAACCAAGCATGATCAAATGGGACTACTTTAATTACTTGAATTTATGCGAGTGCAGTGAAGCTCAGGCTATGGAGCACCTGCTCATTTGCCGACTCCTTGGTGAGACCTGTACAAAGGAGGACCTTGCTACAGCAATGACAAGAGCCATCACTTGTGTGTGATTCTGGAAAAACATGTAGTATATGACAAGGACATGAGGAAAAGAAGTGCAAAATAAATGGTTTATTACATGTTTTCTGCAGTTTCCTTCTGCAGCCATGGTATAGATTTATTCAGTGCCTGGTATGACAACACAGGTAGGATAGCAGGATATGCTATGACCTTTGAACAGAAGAAGCTGTATTGTCTTTTAAAAATAAAATTCATTTTTTATGCATAGATGTGTTTTTATAAGTAATTTTATTGATTCCATAGCATGTGATAATGCATGGCATTTAAAAGTCTAGAGTTAAGAATTAGTTATACTTCAGTAAGTAAACAGTTATAAAATCCCAGTGTGCTGTGGTGATTTGGTTGTCCTTGTTATTCTGATAACATCCACAGCATGCTATGTGCTGCCTGTACTTGCAGATACTCATATATACATGAAAACAGTTACTTAAGGAGCTTGCAGTGTAACAGAAGAAATAAAACTT